AGAATCTGTATAGTTTTGACAATATAGGGGCTATTTTGGAAGCCACATCTAGACTCAAATTCCATCCTTTTTATAATATCCTACACCAGTTTCATCTTGCCACTTAGCCACATCCAGCCTGCTACTGTTCTGGAACTGTTCTGGAAATAGCAGTCATGCTCTGTGCTTCTTTGTTTCCATGCTGTCTGTGGCTGTTTTCTCTCTGCAGCAGGAGAATCATGGAAGAGACCACATGGCTCTCAGAGCCTAAAATCCCTCTGTGGCGTTTGCTGACCCACATTTTTACCCCTAGGTCTCAGTGCTCTGTTTATATTGTCCTTTTCTGGTCATTTGAGTTGTGAATGTGAGAGGCAGGTTCATGCTAGTAGGTAGAGAGGATACAATGAATTATTTTTTTTTAATGATGTGATCAAAATAATAAGGCACTTTGGCAAGTTAATTGAAAAATGAGCTCATTGTTAATGTTTCTTTCACTTTCTCAGTTTAGATACTTGTTACTCTGATTACATTCTTCATTGTTACTCAATTGAAGTTAGCATAAATAATAAATTAGTGAGTTACAGCTAGCATTCTTAGTAGTTATTCAGTAAAGATATGTTAATATCTGCCTTTTTCTGTGTTTCAGGTCATGGGAGATAATCTCCTTCTGTCATCTGTCTTTCAGTTCTCTAGAAAGATAAGACAATCTATTGATAAAACAGCTGGAAAAATCAGGTACTTTGTGTTCCCCTAATCTATTTTAAATTGTCGCTTCCATTTTTAGTAAGCCTGTTGCAACAGCTGTGAGAAACTAGTGAAGATTGTGACATGGAATCCTGCTGCTACTGTTACTGCACTTCCTTTCCAGTTGCAAGGAATGATCCTAACAAAACAAATGTCTCTGGTCATGAACTCAGTTTGTGATTGAAAATTAGCACTTTTAGCCGGATGTGGTGGCACACACCTTAATCCCAGCACTTGGGAGGCAGAGGCAGGTGGATCTCTGTGAGTTCAAGGCCAGCCTGGTCTATATAGTGAGTTCCAGGACAGCTGGAGCTACAGGGAGACCCTGTCTCAAAAATACCAAAAAAAAAAAAAAAAAAATTAGCACTTTCTGAATGTTTATTAATACCCAGAAACATTCCAAAAAATCTGTTAAATATTTTAAATTAACAGACTCAAGGATTCTTTCACTGTAAGACCTCCAACTTGACTCCAGTATCATCTTCATTGGTAAATGAGTCTTCTAAGACTCAGGAAATTTGTGGAACAGCACCTAAACGATGTTGGAAATGTTATATAGACTGTTCAGTGTTAGGATCACATGTTTAATACCTTTTTTTGCATATGTTGAATTACAGTATTATTTTCAGTATCATAGCCCTTCACTAGTCTGTATCCTGTGCATAACAACTGTGCTGTATTGAACATTATATACTTTCAGTTCTCTGCCATGAAGAATGTACTTCATAAATATTTATTGAAGTGAATAATTGAAAGAAATAGGTTGCTTCCTTTTAGCTTGACAATTCTAGAAGAGTCATTGCAAAGAGGAGTCAGTGAAAGGAGAACTCAAAGGCTAGGCGCGACACATTTGGGAGGTGGAGGCAGGAGAATAGGAGTTCAAGTTTATCCTCCACTGTATATCAAGTTTGAGGTCTACATGAGACTGTCTCAAAAAAGAGAACTAGAGAAAGCAAGGATGTTATTATGAGCTTTGGGGAAATGAAAATGGTAGAAGAAAGGGGTTTTATAAATGTTTAGATGAATCAGCAGTAATGTGAAGGTGTCCTTCAGCTTTTCCACTTAACTGTGTGACTTCAAACAAGGTGTCTGATCTGACTCCAGTTCATCACCTTACACACACAGAGGTCATGCTCTCACTGACTGCTATTGAGTGGCTTCAACGAGAAGAAAATAAAATTATTTCTCATTATATTCGTGTATCTACCTTAATAATTTTTAAAAGCTATGCTATCGCCTCTTTTTGCTTTTTTTGTTACTTTTTCTCAGTTAAATTTTTCATCACTGGAATGAAAATGCTAACCTTGGGAAAAATTTTCCCCTAAGTAAATCCCTATGAAGTACTACTTTATAACTTTAGTAATTGAAAACAAATAAACTTGTACCTTTTGTGTAATAATACTTGAGAAATCTATTAACATTATAGCATAATTTATTTTTAAATCCTATAATTAAAATTCAAAGATATAATGAAACATTGTAAAATGTAGAATTGCACATGATATAATTTTGTGTTCTTATGTATTAAACATCTCATCAGTGCAAGCATTTTGCATCATCTTCCAGCAAAATATATTGAGCTTTCCTTCTTTGAGTTCCTGTCTTTCTATTCCTTTAAAAACTGCCAGCGACTTCACTGTAGTCTAGAAGAATAGCATTCTGGGGCCTGGTGAGGTACCAGAGCTCAGTGATTACTCAGGTGTTCGGGACTTGCCTGTCATATGTGATGTCCTGGATTCTATCCCCAGCACTGCAGATACATAAATAAGTAAACAAACAAACAAATAAATAAATAAATAAATAAATAAATAAATAAATAAATAAATAAATAAATAAATGTAATACCATTTTACAAAAGAAGGGACTGGAGAGATGGAACAACCATTAAAGAAAGACTAAGACTGACAACCAAGATGTAAAAAAGGGTGTAATCTTCAAGGTCTGCTCTTTACTTTTAAACATGTATACCATATGTATACATGTATGTATATTTTTTTCTTCCTCCAGGTTCATTTTTCAAAGATCTTACGCAAATGGGATCATAACTGTTTGCTTTTCTATACCTTAGTATTTTCACTTAATAATACTTTTATTTTTTTCAAGAGTACAGATTAAGCATATTGATAGATCTATCAGTCTCAACATTTGATTGGACTGTGAGGCAAAGTGCCTTAAGAAGGAATTGAATATTTGGCTTTCCTTTGTTGTTGTTTTATTTTGTTTTGTTTTTGAAACAGACTCTCATTGTGTAGCTCTGACTGGCCTGGAAAACTCAATGTAGATCAGGCTGGTCCAACTCACAGAAATCCGCCTTTCTCTGCCTCCTGGGTGCTAGAATTAAAGTTGTGTACCACCATACCCAGCCAATTTTCTTAATGAGTACCTATGAATAATTTTATTTTTTAATTTTTAATTTTTTTGTTTTTTGAGAAAGGGTCTCCCTGTCATTCCAGCTGGCCTGCAACTTGCTATGTAGACCAGGCTGGCCTCCATCTCACAGAGATCTGTCTGCCTCTGCCTCCCCAGTGCTTGGATTACAGGTATGTGCCACCACCTTCTGCCTAAAAGTTATCTTAATGACTACCCTTATGTTACTGTAGATTGTATTTTTTTCAAGGTAATTTCTCTCTGTTAATTCTCAGCTATATCCCCAAATTTTAAATAAACTTTAGTTCTTCATAGAATAATAATTTAATACTCATTAACAAGTGGTTATGGAGTACACAGACTTTAGACTTCACCAAAACACAAGGTGTCTGCACTTGTGAGGTTTAAACTCCATCTCATCTACCTGAGGGAATTGTCCTGGGCTAAGCTGTGTCTGTTGCTGTATTTTACTATTAACAATTTCTGTTCCCACCAAAGCTCAAATTTGCCCCTTTTTTTGTTATTGAAATTCCTTATTAGATAAAGGAGATAAAATTACAAATAATAATCCGGATTTCAGTGAAGTAACATAATTAAATTGGAACATAATTAAATTTTAAAAGTTAAGGTTAACAGTTCATTTTAAAGAACTTAATTGCACATTTATAAATAACTGCATTTTATGAAAGTCTGAATTTATAACACTATCAGAGATTATGTTATTAGATAATTAGATATATTAGCATCCAATACTGCCTTAAATATGGTTTATTTTCCCTTTAATCATATTGATTCTGAATTTGCTGGTGCTATTTTCCCTCACAAGTAAGAGCTTTCCTCACCATTTTAGCCCATTCGCCAGTGATGCTCCAATCGGTTTGTGCCCCACAGTGAGTACAGATGACCATCCTCTGGGACAGAGTCCAGTTAAAATTGCCCCCCCCCCAAAATAGTAAACTTGACTAATTAGTTATTACACAAGTTAATAAATCTCTAGGCCCCAGTCATATGCCCTGCTAATAATAAATAGAGAGTCATGCCTCAGGTTTGACTCAACTATTCAGTGTAGTTGGCAGTAACACAGTTGCTATTTTTTTTAACTTCCTAAAATTATATTCTAAAACTAAGCATGGGAGTATTAACCAAAGGAATATATCAGTAAAATAAGCAGTGATTATGATAGTCTTATATAGGAATTGAAATGAGATGTGCAGGGTCCTGGTTTTGATTCCTAGATGTTACCAAAAAGAAAAAAACCTATTAGGAATAGTCTCCAGGTTTATTCATTAATTGAATGTGTGGCTGTATGTTACCTGCATTCTTTTTGATACCCTCACAATCAAGTGCAGAAAGCAGACATGAAAACATGATTAGAGTTCAGAATGGCAAGTATTAAAAGGGAAATACAGGATAAGATGAACCCATAGGAAAGTCCTTTGGGAAAAAATCTGAGAATAATTTTAGAGAAATTGCATGGATGAGTAGGGGAGTTTAGTTGAAAAGTGAAGAGAGGGGCAGTGGGATCATGATAGCTGATACTGGGAGATTAGGATGGACCAACTTAACCCAAATGTAGTACAGTTTGTACCTCATCATAAAAAGCCATGTGAGTGCTCTTGCTACACTGTTCATGAAAATATGGGTGTTTCATTGTGTGGCTTGCTGCTCTGAAAATTTGGAGTCTTATATACACATGAATATATCACATAGATATGATTGATACATATAAGTTCATTCTACCTACTGAAATACAGATCTCTTCCTTCCTTAATACCTGGATCCTTTTCCAGTTAGTGACTCATACAAGAGGCATTCCTAGACCACCTGCCTTGTACCTTTCTGCTGTGAACTGTTATCACAGAGCGTCTTTCTCAGTCTTCATTGACTTCATCCTCAGTTTCCCTCACAAGAAAATAGTGTGACTACTGTGGCTTTGACATTTAATTAGACTGGAGATCAAAGAACACGTAGATTGAGTAGTAAATTGACACAGTGATTTTACTATCTTTAAAACTTTGAAATTGGAAAATATTTCTAAAGCTATAAATATCAAATGATCCATGTATTAGAATTGTCGTTGGTTTGAACATTGAGTTTTGCTATGTGTAAAGCTTGTGGCAGACTTTGTGAAAGATAATAAAGAAGATTAAATGTCTTCATTATTATGGAAATTATCATTGAGCCTGGCTGAGGGTGTACAGGACAGCATATGATAGATTGGTGTCCAGATAGAGTAAAAGGTGAGGGTTCACCTTCACCTAGGATGATGATCAAGGAAGGCTTTGTGGAAGACATTGCATTAAAAGGTAGGTATGATTACTGATAAATAAATCTGAAGACTAGAGGCTGGCCTTCGACATGGGCAGCACCAGAGCACTTTGGGGAATGACTATGAGCTTCATGTCACAGCTTAGACCCCCAAGTGCCTAGTGGACATCTAAGCATATGTGTACTTAATTGTTTGGATGCTCCCTCTGGGCTTAATTTCAAGGTATTTTTACTCACAGCATTCTCACTGTACTCCATTCCACAAGTTTGTGACAGTGGTCCTAGGTTAGTTGTCCATTTTCCGCCCCATTTCATCTGTATTGAAGGACCATCTAGAGAAGAAATTGTGGAAAATTTAGGATATAAGATTAAGACTTTTTTTCCTCGTAAAGCCAACAGTTTCATTAAGAAGGATGTTTAGCTTATTATTTGCTGAACAAAAAAAGCTTTAGATATTTAGCCTAACTACTATTCTGAATTTGTAATTAGAATCTGAAGACCTCTTTGAAAATACCTTTGAATAAAAACGGAATTTTGACCATTATAGCTTGGTCTGAAATACTTTGTTGGGGCTGGAGAGATGGTTCAGCAGTTAAAAGCACTGGCTACTCCGGGTTTGTATCCCAGTTACCGGCATGACAGCAAACAACTGTCTGTAACTCCAGTTCAGGGGATCTGATGCCCTCTTCTGACCTCTGCAGACACTGCATGACATGGGTGCACTTACATACATGCAGGCAAATACAACTCAGAGACATAAAATTCAAAAATATATTTAAAAAGAACAATAATTTGTTGATCTAGTTTTCTGCTTCCTTGGCATCCAAGTATAATATTGTATTAAAGTTGATTTTCTGAAGCCAAAATGATAGGTTTGGCTTCTTCAATCTTCAGGATAATATATGTAAATTGTAAATATTGCTTCAGTGGAACATTTTTTTCAGTGAGTCGGGAACGTTAGGTCACCATTCTCTTCTCTTTCCACCAACAGTAAGATGCTTAGCAGTTTCAGAAGCACATGTGTTATACTCACCATCTTGTAGCAAAATGCACTGAAGTTTTAGCACCTCATGGCTAAGCACAGACTTTTGCGCAAATCCATTGTGGTTCTCACCTGGCCCATGAAGTGGTCATTATTTTCTTATGTGGGTCTTAGTGCTATAAGGACTTTTGAAAGGATAAAAAAATGTGTCTTATTCTTTAACATCATAGTCATTATAAAGCTCTTAGGAATGTGACTGGCATTAAAGTTTAGTCTTTTCAGTTTAGAAAATTTAACAGTAAATCAGAAGGACATTCTTTTACAGTCTCTAAACCCTTAGCATGGCTACATAGAAGTGCAGATGTTTCAGACTTGATTTGATGTTAAGCTTCCTGTTTTTAAATAACCTGGCGTATTAATCTTTGCAGAAATACTAAGAATGTTAATGTACATAAGGTATTTAAATTAAATGTTCAGACTCGGAGAAATTTAAAGAGAAAACAAAAATGTGTTAACATCTTACTAAAACTGCTTGTGTCTCGGAGATTCTTATGTACTGGAGAGGAGTATTCTAAATTTGGAAGACAAGTCAAAATTTTGTGGTAGTTTATAAGTTAAGATGTTTGAATTTAGTTTCTATACAGAACCGTTATTATCAGTTCTTTTTATTAGAAATATATAGAAGTATAAGATATCTTGACTCCTAGTAAGTTATGTACAAGTACATAGGTACATAAGTATGAATTAAGATTTTTGAACAACCACACAGTAAGTACTCCAGTTTTCAGTTTTTAATAGAATATCCACACTTTGCTCCAATAGGTTAGTATTCCTGTTAAAAGAAGTTTTAACCAATATTGCGCACCTAATTAAGCACATTTTCTTAATTTCATTGTACTTATACTTTACATATTCTATTACAATAAATAGTAGTCTTTATAAATAGTAGTTGTGTTAATTAGGTACAAATAATAGTTTAATTTGGGGGAGACTTAACTACATTTGTTTTATATTCAGTTTTCAATTAAGTATGAGACAAACTTTAAAGAGTTTTAAGCATGTATTAGAACCAGACCATTATGTTTTCAATAGTTTTTCACATGAATGAATTAATAGTATTGGCTAAGTATTCTCAGTTCATCCAGCAATTGTTTTATTTTTTTCTTACATAGTTTTGAAAAGATTTGTTGTTTTTGGTATTATCAACAACAAAAATAAACCATGAAAGGTAAATGCTTCTGTTTCTGATCTGTAGGATATTATTTAAAGACAAAGATCGAAACTGGGATGACATAGAGAGCAAGCTGAGGACTGAGAGTGAGGTCCCCATTGTGAAGACCTCGAGCATGGTATAGTGGCTTTTCTTCAAGATAAGCGTTTCTATAACAAGGCTTTATTTGAAGCAAAAGACAGTTTTGAAGCATCTATGTGCATTTACATTATAAAAGGCATATTGGGTAAATTTCATCCTTGCTATTTGTTTTGGGGGTTTTGTTTGTTTTTTGTTTTTGTTTTTTTGAGACAGGGTCTCCCTGTAGCCCCAGCTGGCCTGGAACTCATTATGTAGACCAGGCTGACCTCGAACTCACTGAAATCTGCCTGCCTCTGCCTCCCAAGGGCTGAGATTTAAAGGTATGCACTACCACCACACCCAGCTTCATCCATGGTGTTTAAAATGTCACTTGTTTTAAAGCTGCAGAGGGCATGAAGGAGGAACTTCTGTGTTTCTCAGTTACACATCTTGTTCTTACAATAATCATATATTATAAATAAACAGTTTTGAATTTAGAACTTAAATAATTTACTTAAAACAGTATTTATCTTTTTAAAAATGAATCTGTTCCTGGGTATGATGGTACACACCTATAATCGCTGACCCCAAAAACCAAATAGTACAAATTTTTATTCCTTGTATTTTCTCCTAATGTTGAAGTTTCACTCTATGTATTTTTCCAAAAGAACAGTCATAAGCACATCGCTAAAACATTTTTGCAAAGTTGATCAGTACAGATTTTTCAGTCTTTGCTTCTGCAGTAATAAATTACCTTAAACTTTTCATCTTCTATTATCATGTCATTGAAAAAAATTAAAGATTCTAATTTGGATCTTGTTTATTCAGTATCACTTATTTTATGTCATTACTGATGTGTCATATAGATAATGTTAAGTGTTCAAATAAAATGAGAATGAGATTCATTGCTTGTCGTTTGAAAATGTTTTAGAGTAAGCTAATTTTTACCACTTTTCTTGCAGGAGATTTCTTCTATTTTACAGGAGCTAAAAAGAGTTGAAAAACAATTGCAAGGTAAACTTACTACTAAATTAAATATAAAGAGCTGACAGATGCTTCTGAATATGGTAGTGAGCGATGTGGTGGTAGATGCCTGTAATCCGAGTATGCAGGAGGCAGAGGCAGGAGGTTTATGAGTTTGACACCAATTTGGACTGCGTAGAAAGACTCTCAAACAAAAAAGAGTTACCAATGAGAGACAAGTGCATTTTCGTTCTGAAAATATATTTCCTAATGGATTCTTAATTACTGAGACAATATTTGGTTAAATGTACCAACCAATACATATAAAAGTTATACAAATTACTCATAAAAAGGAAGCTTCAAAGCTACATATAATAAAGGGCTTGGGAGATAGCCCAGTCCAAGAGTGTCTCCCTAGTATGTGCAAGGCCCTAGCTTTGATTCAGAGCGAGTGAAAGAGAGAGAGAGAAATATCAAAATAAAAATTTAAAAATATTTTTTAAATTAGATCTTTTTATCTTTTTATTTGTTATTTTTGAGATAAAGTGTCATAACACAGATTGGTCTCAACTCACTGTGTAACTGAGGATGGTCTGGAACTCTGGATCCTCCTCCTCCACCACCTAAGTTCTGGAATTACAGGCATACCTGGCATAAAGTTAGATCCTGAACATATTTTGGTATTCATATTTGACAGTAGGTTAGATGCTATAAATTAATTATATATAAAAATATATAAAATAATATATTTAAATGAGTGTATATAGTTGAAAATACTGATAATTTACATCTGTTTCACAATTTTTACATTTCATTGCTGGCATAATGTGTAATTAACTTATATTCTAATACAAATAATGGTTACTTAGATGGACCACAGGATATGAGTGTGTTTTGGCTATAAGGACTAGAAGAGGAAGTAAAGCTGGACATGGTGGCACATGACTATAATCCCAACGCCAGACAAGAGGAGACAAGAGGATTGTGACTTTGAGGCCAGTCTGGAATATACAGAGGAACAAGAGAAAAAGGAAAAGAGAAAGAAGAAAACTTTGGAGCGGGCATTGTTCTGGCATTGTCTCAGATCTAGATTTTGTCTTTTTGCCTAGATGTCTTGACCTAGAAGTCCCTAGTGGTTTAAGTAGATGGGCAAGTCTTCTGCTAATTCTCCTTTGTCTTTATTGGTTGAATAATCTTGGCCTGATGTGTTGGTTCCACCTAAGAGATTCTTACTTTTTTTTTTAATTCTGACCTATCACATGTACAGGTTACATGCGCCCCACCCCCACCCCCCCAATAAGTAACACTGAGTTACCAACACAGTGGTGGTGATTATTAGAATGGAGGGCCGTTCTTTTTGTTTGTTTTTGTTTTTGCTTTTCAAATATCTTTAATACTTTATTTTTAAAGTTTTTTATTGAGCTTTTGTATATTTCATACAACAGCTCTTAATCAAATTTAGACCCCCTCCCCCATCTTTGCCCTCCCCCCACCAGACTTCATGTATTCCGCCATACATGTTAAGTCCTATCCTGTCAAGAATTTGTACCAAATTTCTTTCAATGCAAATTCATCCAGTGGAGTCTAGTCAGCTTATCTAGAGTGCATTGATAAGGTCTACTCTCCCTCACCTAGGAGTAATCAGTCTCTAATAGTTACCAGTCTAGGGCCAATCGGCCACCCATTTCCCTCACTGTACTCTGGGCCTTTGTCTGATTGAGTTGGCATGGGTCCTCTGCTCAATGCCACCATTGTCACAGGTTAACATGTGCAAGCCTCCAGTGACCTGAAAGTCTGTGCTTCCCTGTGTTCATGAATCATCCCTGTCTCTTACAACCTTTCCAACCCCTCTTCCACAATGGTCCCTGAGCCATGGGTGGAAGAGGTTTAATATAGGAGTCCTATCCAGGGACACACTGTCTATAGTCTCTTATTCTTTAAAACTTAGCCAGTTGTGGCCTTTTGTGTGCATCACACTCTGTTGTATAAAAAGCTTGACTGGTTGAGGGTTGCACTAGTTTTTTCTCTTACCCCACCCCCCGCCCTGTTCTGCTGTGTTCCATGAGCCTTAGGTGTAAAGGTTCCACTGCAGATATGTCACCTAGGACTAGGCATCTCTCAGACATATATCCTCTGTGTCTGACCAGTTGTAGGATTCTGCAGTAGCCTCCATCTGTTGCAAAAAAGAAGCTTCTTTGATGAGTGGTATGCAGTATACTTCTCTGTAAATATTAAGGATCCATATTTAGCATATGGTAAGAAATTTCATTTGTCCATACACAGAACAGGCATAGGGATTTCTCTAGGATCTATGACCTCTCCAGCCATGTGTATTTGACTATGTTTACAGTGACACCCGTGAGTTCATTCCCATTGAGAGGGCTTTAAGTCCAGGTAGATAGCTGTTGATTACCCTCCAGATAACAGTGCCACTACTGCACCAACAGAGGTAGTTTGGTGTGCCACTTGTTATGGTTATTAAGCTTTAAGGCTGGGTTGGACCATTGATTGATTTTCTCCCTTAGCAGCTTGCATAGTGTCCTCCAGAACTATGAGAGCTAAACTTTAGGTAGAAGGCTTCAAGGTCAGTTCCTGCTCCATTGCTCCAAGTCCTGTGTCCGAAGTATGTCCTGTCTTCAGCCGTAGGGTCTGAGAGAAACCAAGAGCTCTGGCAATAGCTTGTGTTCTTTGGGGAGTCTCTTGGACCACTCTGACCAACTACTGGAGGGCTATTCTTGAAAGGACTCTTGATTGACTTTTATTTCTGTGGTGCTTCCTTCTTCCAACTTCTTGCTCTGCCCTTTTCCATGTTGAGAAGTAAGTAATGCCTGAGAACTTCTTTTGTCTATCCAAAAGTCTTTTGAACTGAAAGCTGGTTTTTCACTGGCCACTGTCATGGAGATAGCAAGGTGTATTTTTCTTTCTGGCACTGCACCAGGGTATTAGTTATGCTATGGCTATTGCAGAGATGCTGCAATAGCCATAGTAGTACATAGTACATAGTAGTACACATAGCTGATAGCTGGGTACCCAGCCAGTGTGAAGACAACATGCTCATTAGTCTTCAGAAGTTCCCATGTTCTAGCATCTCCAGCCTTGAAATGACTCTGAACTCAATCTTAACAATTAACCCACAATTTTTTGAGAGATAAAAGTAGGATTAAAGTTGGTTGGTTGGTTGGTTGGTTGGTTGGTTGGTTGGTTGGTTGGTCGGTTGGTTGGTTGGTTTGTTGGTTGATTGGTTTTTTTGGCAGGGTATCCCTAGCCCCAGCCTGCCTGGAACTCACTACGTAGACCAGGCTGGCCTCAATCTCATGGAGATCTACCTGCCTCTGCCTCCCGAGTGCTACGATTAAAGGTATATGCCACCATGCCAGGTGTACGGACTTTTTAAAAAAATCATAACCAGTCTTTTACATATCCTTTTGTAATAATGAAAGCAAATTTCAGAAAGCTTTTTCTTGATTTTTATGCTTCCAAGTACTAGTTTTCTTTTTTACCAGTTCTTTAAGTATCCATAGGGGAACCATAAGGGGACCTAAGAGAAGCATTTGCATTCGGGTCTGTATAATTTGTATGTTGTAAGTATAGCATTAGAGGAGAAACTGAAGTATTTCTAAATCCTAAGCAAAGTTCTTATCCAAATCTCACTGCAAAAGATTTATATCTCTTTTTGCTCTACTTTTCCTTCAGCGATCAATGCCATGATTGACCCAGATGGAACTTTGGAGGCCCTGAACAACATGGGATTTCCCAATGCTATCCTGCCATCACCACCAAAACAGAAAACCAGTCCTGTTAATAACCACAGCAGCCCGGGTCAGACACCAGCTCTCTGCCAGCCAGAAGCTAGGGCTCTGCACCCTACGGCGGCAAATGCCTCAGCTGAGTTAGAGAATGCTGAAACCGAGGCTGATTTCAGTATACATTTCAATAGGTTCAACCCTGATGGGGAAGAGGAAGATGTTACAGTACAGGAATGACATCCTCTGGGTTGTTCCAAAAGTAATTACCCATGGAATGACTAGGAATTGGAAGCATAATGTTGACATACAAAACAAAAGAGCTTGGTCAGCAACAATCTTGTTATCTTTGTCTTCTTAATTTTATTTATTTATTTTACCTCTAATATAGTGTCCTACCAATCTTTTCAAACCACTTAGATAACTTGAAGCACACTTAGCAGAAAGAGGTTACGGCAGCTCTGCCTTTTGTGGTTGTAGGATTTTCAGATTGAACTGTATCGTTGCATCCTTTCCCTTCATAGATCTCTGTTTTCTTTAAGCCATGCTGTGACCTACGAGCAACTAAAATACCCAACATTTCTGAGCCCTGTGTCTCCTGTGCGAAGCTGTTCCCTGAAATGGACTTCATCTTCAGCTGTACAGGTGTTAGACCATCCAATGTGCTTCTTAATACTAGGGTTTATATTACTATTCATTACCACTGGACACAGTGACACACTGCTCTCTGTAGTAAAGCAAACCTTTCACAACCATCATCCTGTGTCCTAAAATTTTCCAACATAGATGTGATTTATATAACTTTGTTGCTAAGTAACTTGTCTTGGGGTTTATGGAAATTAACTATTATGTTTGCACTAAGATTTTTCCGGGAGTGATAAATGGACATATCTATATATCAATAAGGACTAACTGTCTTTTTGTACATAGGAAATTGATAATACTGTATTTGTTTTAACCCCACAGTGTTTTACTCCACTTTCAAAAAGAACGATTTGGCACTTTTTTTCTTCTTTTTTTAATGGAAATAAAACTTTGTCGCTCCTTTTAGATTAAATGACAGCTAGAAAGATTAGACTAGACAGATAGTTTAGGTGGAGTATATTTTTTAAACTAAGAACATGTATATTTGTCCTGTGTTACCAAGTTTTATGTGACAGTTGGAAAAAAATTCCCCTGAAAGGATCATGATGTTAAAAATTTTCTTCACTAGGAGACTTGGAGAACCAATAGTCATAAGATTAGTTGATAGTTCCACTCCCAAACATGGAATTGCTTCTGTGTGTTTCCCTGTAGGACCCAATAGTAAGTCCTGTGTCAGTCTTACACATTTATAAGGACCCTGCAAGACAACAGCGACTAAGGCTCTGGGCTCATAGCTACTGCAGAGAAAGCCTGTGGAACATACCTTCTTTAATTTTGTTCTGTTTTCATTTTTATTTCCAGTAAGTTCACATTTGGATAAGTTTTAAAAGGAAAAAATTACTTTTGTGTTTCCAGAACACTATAATTTGGGTGACTCTTAATTCTGTTAAATATTAGTAGGCCTAGATTTCCCCTAAGGCCCCAGCAGTCTCTAAGAGTAAACTGCAACTTTTATGAAATGGTCTTTCATACTGTAGCAATAACCTGTGTCACATTTGTTTTAAGGAAAAAAGTAACTGTACACTTCAACATTTTTCAGGATTTAAGAAATCCTATTCTGTTGGGTCAGTTAATAAAAATGCAAGATCTTTTTGTAGAGATGTAAAAACAAAAAGTCTATTGTATAATGGATCTGATTTTTAAGTTATAAAAAGGAAAAGGAACTGTTCTTGTAAAGCTTAATTCACAGTTCTCATAAAAGGAACACATTTTAAAAGATTTTTAAAGAATGTGAAAGGAAAGCCAAATGCCATGAAGGAACAAACAAAACATTAAAACAGAGAGTCCATTTGAAGAAAAAGTTGAAATAATTGCCATTGCTCCCTCCTTAGCTGAAGTTTGGTACTGATTCTGTCCACATGGAATTAGATGGTAAGGAGTTTAGGAGAGTGTTACAATCTCTATTTACATTATGTTTTGTTTACACAGTTTTGTTCAATTATAAACATTTGGCCTTTTACTATGTTATTTTTATTTTGTATGAATACATTATTCTCCTTATTTATTTTTATTACATTTATTACTTGCGTTATTTTGTTATGCATTTACAACTCCATTTTTAAATAAAGTGTTTCTGGAACTTTATGCAGTGATTATCTATTTTATTTCTTCTACCACTGATGCACTAATACTCACTGATTTACCAAATAACTATTTAAAACCATTTTCTAGTGTTTAACAAAAGAATCTTTCAGTTTTAATTAATACATAATCATTTAAAGAATGGCATTTTCTTAGTGAATTATAATAAATATATATGCTTAGCTTAGCACTCCAGAATAATGTGTACACATAGGTCTTTATTTTTAGTCAGCCCTGGATCAGCCGAAAGCTTTGTGACAGTAATGCATTTAGGGAACAGAGTAGAAGTTTTAAGTACCTCACACATCTTAAATTTCAGACTGTTTGTTGTTCTGTCATTCAAGCTCAAGACTCTTGACCATCTCCCCGTCACTGATCAACTTTACAAGTTTCACAGCTTGGCCTTTGGAGCTTTCTGTAATCCAGGCTTTTCCTCTGTTTTTGTGAACCCTGATTCTGCTGCTCCTCCAGTGTTCCTGGACATCGAGGGCCTCTCGTCCTCCGTGTACTTGCTCTTCCTTGCTTTCCTGTTCTACCACAGCACACAGCTCTGCCGTTCCTCCAGTCCACTGACATCCTCATAAAGCTTCCCTCAGTTGACACCATAGCAAGGTTGTGTTGCACACTTGCAAAATTTTTCTCTTCTTTTTTCCCCCATAACACAAGTGTATATACTTTGCAACTCTGTACTAGTGAGGTTCCTTCATGTCCTTGGACTTGCTTGTCAGGCCTCTGCATGAGTCTAACTTTGGGGAGGAAACTGGACTTAATATTTGACATCCAGACCTGTTCTCTGTGAATGTAGTCCTTTAACTTCTGATCTGCAAAATTAGGGCATCCAGGGGTCTCAGTACTTCAATGGACTTTATGAAATGTATTCTTCAAAAACACTTGCTCTGATTCTTTGTTATGTAAACTCTTCCTCTCCTTGTGGTCTCAACCCTTCAGACTCAGTTTTGCCCAGAGAGATCTGAACCACTTTCTTTTTATCTTTTTTTTTCTATTTTTTAGAACTTTAACGTACTCAATAACAATTTCCAGAGCAAAGATACATCTCTTTTGAAAGTGGCTATAAAATTTTTAGGTTCTGCTTTCTGTGCTTACTAAGTGCCTAACATACTAAATAGTCTTCTGAGCACTGAGACTCCTGGCAGTGAACAGAAACAAAATGTTACTCTCAAAACCTCAGATTCCATAATGTGAGGCAGACAGTGGAACCTCAGAGTTCAGTTAGGAGGCAACATCAGATGGAGACGCACATTCTCCATTCTAGTGACTGCATATGGAGGCCATCCCTCAGCTGAACTTCGTGAAGGTAATATGTAGTGCTCTATATGTGCAGATTCTCTTCAGTTCATTTTCATTCTGGTTGTAAGAACTTTCTGTGCCCTACCTTGCAGCCCTGTATTCTGAACCCGGTTGCTTCCCTATGTGCTCATGATGCACCCGAGACACTGCCACACAGGTCATCAGTAGATTTTGCACAGGGCTGGAGAGCCTCCTCAGAACTGTGCTGCTGCCCATCTCTGGGAGACTTCATAGTACAGCTGAACTGAACCTGCAGCTGTGTGCCAAGTCTCCAAGAAACAGTCCGCAGCACTTTCCATGTTCAGGTAACCTTTGCATTATTTGGATGTAGGGATGACCAGTACACTGGGAGTTCAGTGCTGACCTGTAGCTCTGGATCCAAAGCTTAGTTTGACCTACTGAGGTGGCCTAAGTGAGTTCCCTCCTCCCCTCTTCCTGCCTCTTGACCATGGTAGCCCCTGTGTCTAGCACATTTCACCACCTGAGCTAGTGTTTGAGGAAATGCACACTGCTCTGCGTTGCTCTTGTAAGTACTGCAATGTACAGCACACACTTGTTCACCATAACTATTAAAGCTATCACAAGGACTAACTTTGAACTAGATGGAAATTCTTTTAGTTTGAGACATGAGATCTACAAATTTGGACATTACGTATTCCAGCCACTTCATATTTGAGGTAATGGAGAAATAGAGCAAGGAGTGAGGGCTTATTCTTTGTTGGACAATATATGTAGTGCTCTACCTACATCTCAGTCTTCACAACTCAGTGGTAAATGAGTAGATCTGTGATTCAAGAACTGAGGCCCAATACTTACCTTGCAGCGGAGACACCATGATCAGGAAGGTGGTTTTCCCAGGGCGAGGCATATCCATTACACTTGGGATGTGCTGACCTCTGTGATTCCCCCAAATGCAGGAAACTCGACTGCATAATTTGTGGCAGTTGGGGACTGTGTTCATGCTCTCCCCTGAAGGAAAAAAAGAACTGAGGTTTGAGGTTAAGGAACTTACTCAGAGGTCCAGTTGGGATTTGAATCTAGATCTACTTCACCCACCACTAGTGCTCACCTTACAAATAACTGGTGGTTTGGGCAAGCCTTTGACACACACCCACCCTTATAACATTGACCACAGACCCTGAAAAGGTCACTGGATCCTACTTCTAAAGAGAAGCAGGAAGTCATCAGTGAACTCGTAATAGAGAATATGAACTTGCCCTACTGAGTTCATGTGAGAACCACATCAGCTGAGGAGCAGTCTCCTCTTGTTTTAAAGGTGAAACCCAGGGCTGCAAATTAGGAAACTGATAGTAATTCCATATCAAGGTTCTCACCATTGATCTGCTTCCTAAAGCCTTCCAATATCTCTGAGTAAGGCTGGTTAAAAGAAGAGAAACTGTCCCCTGGGACTAGGTGGAGTACAACGAGACCTGCTGTTCCCTCTACATGGGGTAAGAGTTGAGGGAGGTGGATAATGGCAGAATGGGTTTCAACACGTCTAGACCAAATAATGACTATGGGGGCTCCAGTGTCAATTTACAATACTTAGTAGTGGCAGTGGATTTTCCTCAAAAGAGAAAACTGAACCAAGTTTGAGATGAAATACTTAAACCTTTGTGCTATTTCAGTGTTAATGCACCAGTCCTGAGTCTTCACAGCTGACTTTGCCTCCTTTACACTTGATTTCCCAGTAGTGCCTCAGTGACCAAAAGAAGTCTTGTGGCCAACTCTCCAGTTTCCCATATCCAGACTCGTGTCCAGCACACAAAAGATAGATGAACTCTGTCATGCCTGCTTTCCATTGCCAGTCTATGATTGTAACCCGAGTCTTCAAAAGAAGAAAAATACAAATCAACATTGGATTTTTAATTATCCTATAAAAGTTCATAATGTGTAACAGCAATTTTTTTTACAAAAGAGAAAAGGTACCATTGCTTCAGAAAATGGTGTAGAAATTCCTTCTGAAGTTAAGCGTGCATCTCACAACACCCCAGCCATTTTCTGCCAGATGTTTACACAAGAGAAATGAAATCATATGTCCACAAATACACATACAAAATTCTTACAGAAACTTTTAGCAGCCAAACCCTAGAAACATAACCCGTGTTCACCACAATTAAATAGAAGAGCAATTAGTGATGCATTCATAAAATAAGGTAACTAAGATAGCAAGGAACAAACCAGCTACAGGCATATGCAATAACATGGGTCAGTTTTTAAAACACTTTGAAAGAAGCTGGCATTAGGACTCAATTTGGGTGAAAATCTACAAAAGGTGAAACACTGTAGTGAGAGCACAGATAGGTGCTGTGGAGGATGGGGAAGAGGAAAATGACTGTGAGTTAGCTGCTGGGCATGGGGCACTGGGTAAAGTTGAGATTCATCATAGTGTAGGCTGACCTTGAATTTTTGATCCTTCTGCCTCCACTTCACAAGTGTTAGGATTACAGGTGTCCACAACCCACCTGGTTTATTCACCCTTCTTTAATCACACAAGAACAATACTGTACCAACTGCATGTGCTATTTCCATCTCATCACAACACTGTATATCAGAGTTTTGACTTTGAGCTCTGGGTGCTGTTTTTCATCCCTGTGTATTTGAATCAAAACATCTTTGAATGAAATAGCCCACTTTGGTGTTCAAAGAAAGGACAGATCCATTCCTGAATCCTTGATGAATTTGGACTAAATACTCTCCGCTATAGTAAAGGTCTTTCTGTTTTATATGTTTTATGTGTTATGAGAGCATTTAAGTGTACTAATGAGATAAGCATTCCTTCCTGCAATGTATTGCCTAAGGTGCATTATTTATATTTGTTTTCAACTTTGAATTCTCTAAGTAGCTATTTTAATCAGCTTTCTATCCTATAGCAAACACCTGAGACAATCAACTTACAAAGATAACAGGTTTATTTTTGATTCACTGTTTGGAAGCTTCCAGTCCATGATCAATTGGTCTCATTGCTCTGGGTCTGAGGCTGCACCTCCAAGCAGAAGTGTGTGGTGGAGCAAAAACATTCACCCCTAGTCCAGGAAGCAAAAGAGAGGAAGAGATAGGGTCCCCACCATCTCCTTTGAGTTCCCCAGTAACTTAGAACCCCCCCCCACTTGACCTCACCTCCTAAAGTCTCCACCACCTCCTAGTAGCACCGCCCTGGGGACCCAGTCTTTAATACATGGATCTTGGAGGGGTGGACACTTAACATACAAACTACACAGAAGCCAGGATTAATTATAGTTGGATTTGAAGGAAAAAAAAAAAACATCTGAAGAGATCTGCCAGGCGTGGTGGTGCACGCCTTTAATCCCAGCACTTGGGAGGAAGAGGCAGGCGGATCTTTGTGAGTTCGAGGCCAGCCTGGTCTACATAGTGAGTTCCAGGACAGCTAGGGCTACAAGAAGACCCTGTCTCAAAAAGACAAAAAAAAAAAAAAAAATCTTAAACCCCAAGCATAATGTAGAAATTATAGTTAAAGCTGTTTTACAAACAGTGGCAATAACCACAGACTGTGTCTATGCTTGCCCAATTGTTATGGCGGGCTGCACATTTGGAAAGACCAGGAAGGGATTCCAAGAAACTCAACAATCCCAGATTACTAGAATGAAGGGAAATCCCCCAAGACTTGTATTAGGTCCGCTTCAAACAGAACAAAACTAGAGAATTACCACATGCTTAATAGCAGACCTTTGGCCTTCAGCTCCCCAAGAGGATATTTGAGACTAGAAATATATGCTTAATTGCTTGATGAATCCAGGCCATCCATGGCTATCAGAGTTACAACAATTTTGTGAGAGAAATGAAGATGCCTTGAGGCCTATGGAGATTGACACCAAGAGCTAACTGTATGATGCCCCCACAATATGTTTCAGTGACCCCAAAGTCAGAGAGAGTTGGCAGATAGGGCTGGACCTTGGAAGAGGAAATGAAATGAATACATGCTAGATGCTAATTGCATGCCTGGTACTTCCTGCCTTAGGTGAGGGTCATCATTGGCAAGGGAGGTAGAAGTGAGTCTCATGAATCTCAGCTGTTTGTCCAGGCCTACAGTGTAGCTAAGTCTGTGGGCTTGTACCTCTTAAATTGGATTCTCCAGGAGGGAGAAGGGCTGTGGCTGGGTCCGTGTCAGTCTGGCTTTGAGGGTCCAGCACCCAACTCCAGCATTCAGAGGAAGCAGGACAGCTTCTGGACAAGAGCTACAGAACAAAGTCATTTCTGATTTTGTGTGAGTCATCAGAAGATTTCATGTTACTCAAGGAAGTCTGTAGGGATTTGTCTAGAAAGGAGTAGGTTAAAATGAAAAATTAGACTGCCAAAGGAAGAAAAATATTCAATAACTGAGTGTTTCTAAAAACCTGAGGTCATGAGACTTGCCGTACTTCACCCTGAAACAGTCATCTGGTCTCTTTGTTTTATGAGACAGTCTCACTTGGTAACCCAGGCTGACTTAGAACTCAACATCTTCCTGTCTCAGCCCCACAAGTTCTAAAATTACAGGTGTGAGCCATTCTGCCCAGCCAGGTGCCTCCTTTATGTGACCACACTGAAGAGCAGCAGCAATCAGGCTCCTTTATAAAACCCTGGGTTCTAGTTGCATTTGCATTGTGCAGTGTGTATGCACATACACTGCCTCTGAGTGCTCAAAATAACTGTGGGCTTGTCTCACGGCTCCACTGCCTACACGGGGGCTGAGGACTATACTACAGAATACCCCAAGGTCAAAAGCTTCTAAGTGGTAAGACCACATTGCTGTCTGAATCTGCTGACCACAGCTCCAGTGGGTGCTCTGTGATACCAGAGAACTGAGGTAGGACCTGCTTTCTCCAGGCAGACTGAGACTCTGCCTGTACTTCCCACATATTTTTCAAACCAAATAGGATTCTCTACAAACACCAAACCTGCTCCACCTACAACCTCTCTGCTCTTGCGGAAGGCAACTCCTTTCCTCCCCTCCTTCCCTTCTTCCCTTCCTTCCTCTCTTTTTTCTTTCCTTCCTCCTTCCCTCTCTCCCTCCTTTCCTCCCTTTCTTCCTTCTTTCCTTCCATCTATTAATGAAAGCCCCACCACCACGCATGCGCGCACACACACACACACACACACACACACGTGCACAAACACAAAACCATGCATCTTCAAACCTTCTGCAAGGTAGATCAACTAATTAGAACTTCAGTGATTGTGGAGTTTGGAATATTACTGGTCCAGCACCTAATTACATTTATGTTGGGCTATCTTTAGCCCCCTAAATAGTCATTCCTTGCTCACCTCTGTGTCTGACCTAACATCCTATGACTAACAGATAAAAACCTTAGCAGACCACTAGCTTCAACCAATCCAAGAGCTAAGGATGCTGTCAGCATCTAAGGCCTATAGCAAAATTCTCGCTGCTTTACTATATATAACCCACCTCACTGATGTCTCCACCAATATAGTTGAAAAGTGTCTTGATTTATGGTTTCTTTGTTCTGTTACCACAAAAACTTCATGAAACTGTTACCACATTGGAACATGGAATTTGGGGTAAACCGAATCTGTGTTCCTGGGTCATGGTCGCTCATATTTGGCTCCAGAATAAACTATCTCTTATCATCTTTGAAGTGAGAATTGTGCTTTTGTGTCCCCTCCTTCCTTTCTTCCCTCTTTCCTTCCTTCCCATCTTTATTGATGTATATTGAAAAAATTGTATTCGTTTAAGGTATGTGGTGTGATGTTTATATAGGGAAATGATTATCATAATCAAGTAAATTATACTCACTGCGATGGTTTATATTGGCTATCAACTTGGCAGGACATAGAATCACCTAGGAAAAGAGCCTCTGGTCATGTCTGTGAATGATTATCTATAGTACATTGATCTCTAGGCATGCCTGTGAGAGATTTTCTTGTTCAGGTTAATTGAGGCAGGAAGACACCCCCCCCCCAATATGAGCAGCACATTCCTTGCGCTGGGTCTAGGACTGAAGGAAAACAGG